TTTGGTATTATTTTGCTTGCAATAGCATGTACTTTGTAAATGTAAAATGATAAATTGTAAGAGGACTAAAATTTTCATAGGGAGAATCCATCATCATGTTAAACTCTGTCAATCGGACTGGTGTGTTCTCTTGAATGAGCATAACTTTTTTATTTCTCAATGAAATTTTGCCAGTTTGGTATTATTTTGCTTGCAATAGCATGTACTTTCTAAATGTAAAATGATAAATTGTAAGAGGACTGAAATTTCATAGGGAGAATCCATCATCATGTTATACTCTGTCAATCGGAATGGTGTGTTCTCTTGAATGAGCATAACTTTTTTATTTTTCAATGAAATTTTGCCAATTTGATATTATTTTGCTTGCAATTGCATGTACTTTGTAAATGTAAAATGATAAATTGTAAGAGGACTGAAATTTTCATAGGGAGAATCCATCATCAAGCCAAATTTCTCTGTTAATCGTAATGCTGTGTTCTCTTGAATGGTCATAACTTTTTTATTTCTCAATGAAATTTTGCCAATTTGGTATTATTTTGCTTGCAATAGCATGTACTTTCTAAATGTAAAATGATTAATGGAAATGACTGAAATTTTCAAAGGGAAAGAATTAAAGAGGTAAAAACAATTTCCATTCTCCTGTAGGATAATATATTCTATAAAACATTATGATAGAGAACTTTTTATCCTATTTGTGATAATTATGGAACTTCTTGTCCCATTTCATAACTTATGGGATAAAAAATCCCATGTAAGGTTAAAAATGGGAATTTTGATTCTATAGGAGAAAAAATCCCACAGAACTCATTTTTCTCCCACAGAATAATGGTGGGATATTGGTTAGGAGAGAAAATCCCACCATAATCCCATGGGATTTCTTGATTTCAGGTGTAATATCTTTTAAACTGGAAGATATTCAGGTGTAAAGGTTAGTCCATGTTGTGCGATTAAAAAAATCCCACCAGATGACATAATTTTTTTCTATGTATCTTTGGAAAAGTGGTTGGCGAAAGTCCGGACAAATGTCGTGTCCGGAGTTAAATGTCGCACTGTTCTATATTAATCTATACAGGTCGTTGCGTTCGAAACAATTTTGAATAAAAGAGAGGGGGGTGCTTAAAAAAAATCAATAACAAATCATCTAGAGTTAATTGAATCGTTTTCAAAAAACAATAGACTGCAAACCATCCAGTTATATATATGTATACATATATACATGGCATATGCTTAATTGAAAAAGGAGAAGGATCACACTGAAAAAAGGATATGTAATGAAATCAAATATAAGCCTATGCGACATGTATATGTATAATCTGTCACCAAGAAAAAAATAAAAATGTCGCCATGTCACTACTTTATTGCAATACATAAAATTGCAGACTCAACATTCCCTGGGATAATTTTAGTGTGGACCCCCCCCCCCCCCTCACACACGTGCGTACATACTTATAAAGTCAATCTTCTGCACGGATAGCGCTCAATCAGGGCATCAATAATGACAGTGTTATTAATTATATTTAGTGCATGTAAGTAGGGCCTTACAACCAACTCAATTTGCCTCGAAAATGTTCATTGATCAGCTAGCATGATCAGGCCGATCTTCGACATTTACAAAATATAATCGCTTTATTAATCAAGATACATGTATATCGAAATTATTTTGAGAGAAATAAAAAGAATGTTCTTACATGTATATTACGTTGTATCATTGTCTGAAATATTGTTTTTGGAATAAGTACTAACTTTCGCCGGTTATTTTTAAAAACAAATCGCACAAATATATTGACCAATCAAAAAAGGGCTTTCCCTAAGAATTTCAAGTCGTATGTAAACTTCCGGCCCCCTTTTGGCGATTTCTCGGAATGTGAAGCAGTAGGTCGAGTTTGACGAGGGATTTTCAATATTTGCAAGTGTAATGCGCCTTCCTGGCTGCAGTGTCCGTAAGTTTAGACCTCAAAAGACTGGCTGCAGAAAGAATATGGTTGCAGGGAATTTATTTGACGGAGTTTCAGACGAAAATACAAGTGATGACCTACTTCGAAAATCCAAGATGGCGGGTTTCGATGGGTACCTTGTTTATTATTCGGTATGTGTATATTTTTTTTATTAAAAGAAAAATAAGTAACGTCAGGTGCCTGTGGGCTCAAGTGAGCTTTTCTGATCAAAATTTGTCCGTCATCTGTCGTTGTCGTTGTTGTCGTTGTCGTCGTCGGCGTAAACTTTTCACATTTTCATCTTCTTCTCAAGAACCACTGGGCCAATTTCAACCAAACTTGGCACAAAGTATCCTTGGGTAAAGGGGATTCAAGTTTGTTCAAATGAAGGGCCATGCCCTTTTCCAAGGGGAGATAATCATGAATTTGTTAAAAATTAATGGCATTTTTAAAAAATCTTCTTCTCCAGAACTGCTGGGCCAGGAAAAATGAAACTCATGTGGAAGCATCCTCAGGTAGTGTAGATTCAAATTTATTCAAATCATGACCCCCGGGGCAAGGATGGGGCCAAAATGGCCGACCCAAGTTTTACATAGGAATACATAGGAAAAATCTTTAAAAATCTTCTTCTCCAGAACCACTGAGCCAGGAAAGATGAAACTCATGTGGAAGCATCCTCAGGTAGTGTAGATTCAAATTTGTTCAAATCATGACCCCCGGGGCAAGGGTGGGGCCAAAATGGCCGACCCAAGTTTTACATAAGAATATATAGGAAAAATCTTTAAAAAATCTTCTTCTCCAGAACCACTGAGCCAGGAAAGATGAAACTCATGTGGAATCATCCTCAGGTAGTGTAGATTCAAATTTCTTCAAATCATGACCCCAGGGCAAGGGTGGGGCCAAAATGGCCGACCCAAGTTTTACATAGGAATATATAGGAAAAATCTTTAAAAAACCTTCTTCTCCAGAACCACTGGGCCAGGAAAGATGAAACTCATATGGAATCATCCTCAGGTAGTATAGATTCAAGTTTGTTCAAATCATGACCCCCGGGGCAAGGGTGGGGCCAAAATGGCCGACCCAAGTTTTACATAGGAATATATAGGAAAAATCTTTAAAAATCTTCTTCTCCAGAACCACTGAGCCAGGAAAGATGAAACTCATGTGGAATCATCCTCAGGTAGTATAGATTCAAGTTTGTTCAAATCATGACCCCCTGGGCAAGGGTGGGGCCAAAATGGCCGACCCAAGTTTTACATAGGAATATATAGAAAAAATCTTTAAAAATCTTCTTCTCCAGAACCACTGGGCTAGGAAAGATGAAACTCATGTGGAATCATCCCCAGGTAGTGTAGATTCAAATTTGTTCAAATCATGACCCCCAGGGCAAGGGTGGGGCCAAAATGGCCGACCCAAATTTTACACAGGAATATATAGGAAAAATCTTCTTCTCCAGAACCACTGAGCCAGGAAAGATGAAACTCATGTGGAATCATCCTCAGGTTATGTAGATTCAAGTTTGTTCAAATCATGACCCCCGGGGCAAGGGTGGGGCCAAAATGGCCGACCCTAGTTTTACATAGGAAAATATAAGAAAAATCTTTAAAAATCTTCTTCTCAAGAACCAGTAGGACAGGAAAGATGAAACTCATGTGGAATCATTATCAGGTAGTGTAGATTCAAGTTTGTTCAAATCATGACCCCCGGGGCAAGGGTGGGGCCAAAATGGCCGACCCAAGTTTTACATAGGAATATTTAGGAAAAATCTTTAAAAAATCTTCTTCTCAAGAACCACTGAGCCAGGAAAGATGAAACTCATGTGGAATCATCCTCAAGTAGTGTAGATTAAAGTTTGTTCAAATCATGACCCCCGGGGCAAGGGTGGGGCCAAAATGGACGACCCAGTTTTACATAGGAATATATAGAAAAAATCTTTAAAAATCCTTCTCAAGAACCACAGGGCCAGGAAAGATGAAACTCATGTGGAATCATCCTCAGGTAGTGCAGATTCAAGTTTGTTCAAATCATGACCCCTGGGGCTAGGATAGGGCCAAAATGGCCGACCCAAGTTTTACATAGGGATATATAGGGAAACCTTTTAAAATCTTCTTTTCAAGTACTTCAAAGCTACGATTAGTGATATTTATATGGAATCATCCTCAGGTAGTGTAGATTCAAGTTTGTTCAAATGATGAACGCCTGGAGGGGGGGGGGAGTAAATTCAAGCCCGATGTGCTCAGGTGAGCGCTGTGGCCCCTGGGCATCTTGTTTCCTTTTATTTTTGACAACTTTATTTTGCATATTTACGCGAGTCAGTGTTCTTGCAAAAATATTCTTCTTGCATATTTAAATATTCCTTAAGATTATTTAGAGCTGTAAGCATGCAGCAGTATTCATGAAAAAAATTGTCTTGCTAATAAAAAGTAAAGGTCTCTCTCACGAAAATAAAGTGTCCTGAAAATTTAGTGATTTACATTAAATCAGCCACTATGGTATATTGTTTAGAAATGAACTTTATTAATTAATAATTTCTTTTCTTATGAATGTTTGTATGCATGCAGGGCCTGTTGGGGCTAATCATCCAATCCCCTCTTTCGTTAACCTGTTAACCCTCTCCCCCAATAACAGTTTTGACTTTAAAGAATTATACTGACTAATTCTTTATTAATAAATGTAAGATCAGGAAAACATTTAGTTCCACTGAATACAGAAAACAAACTTATAATTAATTGTGTGATTAGAATGCTAATTGATTCAACTGCTTCCTAAGTGACCTGAATTTTATTTGAAGTTTTCTCCTTTTATAAAGCCATAATCCAACCTAGCTTTCTCACTTTGTATATTAAATAGTGCTTCATCCATTGGAATTTAAGTACACCTCATATGAGGTTGCATTTTGGGGATGAGCATGCCGTCTTGTTGAGGTTGTCTTGTGTGTGCCAAGCAGGGTGGGGGTGGGGGGTGGAGTTTGTTTTGTGTGTGCAAAGTGGTGGTGGTGGTGGGGGGGGGGTGTTTACTAATCTTCTAATTACAGCTGTACTTATATGTGGCTATTTATTGATTTAGGCCTGTAATCTGCCGATGTACTGGAAAGCGTTACTGTTTCATGCCAGTGGAGGGGACAAATTAGGTTACATCACCAAAGAGAGCTTCACCTCTATGTGGAAAAAGTAAGAATAGTTTAATCACATCGCTCAATTTATCAGATATCATATTCTATGTTTTGATTCATTGGCATATATAGCTCCATGCACTAGGGAAAGACATATACATGTACATCCATCCAACTATTACAACAGGTATATTCAAAGGGCTGTCCCTAAGACCCAGGGGCAGGGAAATTTTATGGCCTATAATGATGTAATCCCCTGGTTATATTGGTATTCTTCCTAAACTTCCAATAAACCCCAGATCCCCCTTTAGTTTCCAAATATCCCCTTCTATTTCAATTTTTAGGGACAACCCTTATCAAGCTTATAGCCCATGAGGTAAAGGGTTATGTGTCAGATCAAAGAGTTTTTTTTTTTTTTTTCTCTTTTATTAAAACATGGTACATAAATAATTCATTGTACAAAAGCATGCTACATACATCGCATAGCTACTTGAACATCAAAATCACAAGTAATTGCCTATTTCTAGATATAAATTATCCTTAATAACATGTGCCTTCCGTAGAATTGCGTTTTGTAGACAAAGAGAATTTTTTAACTTATTTCGAAAAATTTCTGTAGACATATTTTCTTTTTCAAATCTACATTTCATTTTATATTTATAGATGTTAAAACATATAAAAGACAATAAATTATTCAATCTCGTTGTTTTTGAATTGATTTCATTGTAAAAACCTAGAACAAGTATTTTCCATGTGACTTCAAAACCCAAAAATAAACTAATTTTTTTCCATATATTTTCACAGATTTTACATTTGTACAATAGATGTTCATTGTCTTCAACAACCATACAATATTCACAATAAGGTTCTACATCTTTGTTCCATTTACTTACATTTAGATTATTATTCAATATGCAATTCAGTAATTTATAATTGAATTCAGCAACATTTTTTTCATACATATACTTAATTTTAGCTAGATATACATTTTTCCAGATATATTTGTAACCAAGATCGAAAGTCTTTTGCCACATATTTTCATAAACTGGTCTTTGAAATTTAATGTTTACCAAAATTGAATAATAAAAATCACATTTAAGATTTTCTAGAGTTCTTATGCTATTATCTCTAAATAAAAATGACATTTTGTTTTTAATATTAACAAATTTAGCATATGTACAATCAAAATTGTTTTTGTATTCTCTGAGTACTTTTTTTATCATGATATATTCACAAAAAATATTGTTTTTCTTTTCCAGTATGTTGTAAAAATGTTCAATACTAAGAAAGTTTCCATCATTATCGAAAAGATCTTTGATATATAGAATATTACTTTTTATCCAGTTTTCAAAACAAAGAGGTTTAGAATCATACTGAAACAAATTATTGTTCCAAATGAATTCCGATAAAAATTGGTCTCTCTTTAAAGTACAAATATGTTTAACTTTTTTACATTTATTGAAAGCAGAGAGGACCTCACCATAAAAAAGTGGTATTCTTATCATCTTAAAAAAGGCAGTATTTTCAAAGTTAACTACATTTGTTTTGATAATATCATTTACTGATATGTTTTTAAGATTAAGAATATTGTTCAACATCTTACATATTATATTTTCTTTATCTAATAATCGTTTTATCCAGGAGGCTTTTGCTGCAGTAAATTTACTCTCTATATCAACAATACCTATTCCACCTTGGTCAACTTTACCGATTAGCGTATTTCTTTTTATCCTGTCTTTTTTCTTCCATATAAAATTAAATACAAGTTTTGATACTTTTTTAAAGAATTCTTTTTTTGGATTTGACAAAATAAAAGCATTATATACCAATTTAGATAATGCTAGTGTATTAATTATGGTACATTTTCCAAAGATTGTTAAGTTTCGCCTTCTCCAAACGCTCAGTATTCTTTCAAGTTTCTCCAATTTATTTGTCCAGTTCATAGCATAACAAAAATCCTTATCATGACCGAGATATATACCTAATGATTTTACATGACTTTTAGCAATTTTTACACCAAATATATGACTTTCGTTTAAATACCTTTCAATAAATTTTCCTGTTAATAAACATTCTGTTTTGTCCAAATTCAATTTCGGGCCTGCGACTTTGCTAAATTCACTTATTGTTTCTAAAGCTTTTTTCATTGAATTAGTGTCTTTCAATAGATTAGTGCAATCATCTGCATGTTGAACGATTTTTAAATTTCCATTATCACCTGGCGATAAGCCGATTATTTCTTCATTATTTTTAAGCTGAACTGCTAGTATTTCTAGCACAAAAATAAATAAAAGCGCTGATACAGGACAGCCTTGTCTAATCCCTCTTTGCATTTCACATGATTTTGACATCCACCCATTATTTTTAACTTTGAAGGTTGGTTTGAAGTATAATGTCTTTATCATCTTGATGAAGTTTTCTCCAAAATTAAATTTTTCTAGAGTTTTGTACATGAAGTTATATTCAACAGAATCAAAAGCTTTTTCAAAATCGAGAAAGAGCAAAATACCATCAATATCATTATTTGTACAATATTCAAAAATGTCTAATATTATTCTTGCGTTCTCTCCAATGTATCTACCTTTAATATAAGCACTCTGTTCACTACTTATTATTCTACTAGCAATTTTTTGCAAACGATTAGCTAAAACATGAGCGAAAATTTTGTAATCAACGTTTGTTAGACTAATTGGTCTATAATTCTTAAGATTTTCTTTCTCTCCTTTTTTATATATCAGGGATATCACAGCGTTTCTTTGCGAAAAGGGCAAAATACCATCATCAATACTTTTAAGTAAAGAAGGAAGAAATATTTCCTTTATATCATGCCAAAATCTTTTATAGAATTCTGCCGTTAGGCCATCTTGTCCAGGGGATTTGTTATTTTTCATTTTAAGAACAGCTTCTTCGCATTCTAATTTTGTAGGTAACATGTCGCATAACTCTTTTTCGGCCTTTGTGACCTTTTCACAGTTAACATTCTTAAAATAATTTTCAACTTCATTATCAGAAATATTTTTACTACTGTATAATGAGCTATAAAAAGTAAACAAGCTTTTCATAATATTATCATTGTCACAAACAACAGTCTCATTTTCATCCTTTATTTTAGTTATTGCATTATTTATTTGCTGCTTTTTTTCAAGACCTAAAAAATAAGAATTACTTTTCTCCCCCTTTTCTATCCACAAAGCTCTAGATCGTACATAAGCTCCATTACATTTCTGGGCATAATAATTATCTCTTTCTTCTTCAAGCTGTCGTTTGTATCTCATATTTATTTCAGTATAATGCTTTAAATCGATTTGTTTTAATTGAGTTTCTATAAATTTGATTCTCTTTTTTTGATTATTAGCTTTATTTTTTGAAAAAGATACGCAGAAGTCTTTTATTGATATTTTCATTCGTTCCCATCTAACTTTTGGATCGTTTAATTGCTTTAATTCTTCTTTTTCGTCATTAATATATTTTCTTAGTTTTTCACAAAAGTTTTCGTCATCTAATAATGAGTTATTTAGCTTCCAATAACCACTTCCTCGTAAAATTTCAAAAGTACTGAGATCAAAACCTAAGCCTAAATGGTCGCTCATACGTGTCCCTTCAACACTGGGTGCTCTACGTACAGTAATATCACAAAGTGGGAAAAACATATTATCATGCATAAAAACATAATCTATTCTACTCTTAGGAATGTCCTCTCCATCACACCACGTTAAACCATTTATTCTTGTTTTTCCACTGGAAAGCCAGCAGTCATTTAGATCAAAATATTTCAAAAAATTTCTTAGATTCTTAACACTTTTATCATTTTGATTATAGTCTAATTGACAATTAAAATCACCACAGACAACAAGCCCTTCTACATTCATTGCATGTTGACTAACCCAAGATGATAATCTTTTAAAAAAAGCAATTCTAGAGTGTTCAGCGTTAGGTGCATAGACATTCACAATTGTAATAATTTTTTCATTATATTTTAAGTTAACTAAAAGTCTTCTTCCATCAAGAGACTGGTGATAATTTAATATTTCAACTGAAAGGTTTTGCTTAAAAAATAGCGAAACGCCCCTACTATAAACAGAGTCGGAAAAACAATGAAGTTTGTTTCCAAACCATCTAGAATTGTATATAAATTCATGTTCTTTAACAAAATGGGTTTCTTGTAAGATAATTATATCGAAATCTGAATCTTTCAACCACTCAAAAAGTGTTACTCTCTTTTTATAGGTATTTAGACCTCTCACATTTAGGGAGAGGAATGATAAAGAGTTTTTAATCATGTGATCGTGTAAATTGTTAATTCACATTATTTTGCAGCAGAGTCGTTTTCATTTTTCTTCTTATTTTTTTTCAAGTCTCGGATAAATGTGTCGAGTTTCTTTTGACTAGCCTCGCTTTGAGAGCCTTTCCTAGGCACGGATGCGCTCCTGAGTTTTCTAGTATATTTGGCAGCAATTTTTTGTACGATAGCTCCAAGTTTGTTTTCACCTGGCCATTTGGATGGTTCTGTTTGAGTTGTGCCGATGGTATCCAAGCCTGTACCCCAGTAAACATCAACAGTAGATTCGGCGAAGATCGTATTGGCATTGGAGGCTTCGAGTTTTTCTCGCATTGGATTTATTTGTTCGGCTTTTGCTGTCAGATCAAAGAGTTGAAAACTAGAACAATTATATTGTTTTTTTAAAATGTCATTAAATGAAATTATATATTTCATGAAAATTTATTTTTTCGTTAACAAAGCATGGTGTAAATGAAAAGAAATACTGAATTCTTTAGGAAACATACGTGTAGCACTTAAAGATTTATTTTAATTGACCCATTGCCTAAAGAATAGGAGCAAATGTTTATAGCAAAACTTTTTTCATTCAATTCTATAAAATTTACTTTTTCTCATAAATCATTCCTAAAATTAATTTTCCTGACAATTTTAAACATCCAAAAAGTATTGTTGCTGAAATAATTTGTGCCATACAAGGATGAAAGTGTATGTGTTGCATGTAGTTAGTCATGAAATCAAACCTGATCACATGATAAATGGATGAAATAAATCACCTCTTCTAATATAAAAATCTTTATTAATTTGCTGAGATGTTATCAGTGTCTGTAAGAACTATATTTCAACATGTTTTAACTCTCATCTTTAGAGTTTTTCTCCCTTGCCATGACGAGGCCGCCCAATTTGTGAAGCTGGCAGCTAAACAGAACTGTAATTATCTAGAGGAGGATGACTTTTTCAATCTTATACAGGTACATACTTCTGATTCTCATTTATTAATGATATTCATTTTAAACAGATTTTGAAATGTAAGTAATTTCTCAAGCTTTTGAATATCTTCCAAATTAGAAGACCACACAGTATTTTATCTTTTAATGTGAAAAGCTAAGTGAATTCTTCTTTAAAAGTAATACTTTAGTAGCAAAAGATCATATATTCTCTAAAAGAGACAAAATAAATTAATCTCTCAATCATGAAATCATTGATATCCAGCTATCATTAACTTTCAATTCATCTGTGTTTGACTGCACTGTAGAAACCACATGTATCATATATGTACTAATTTGAATGACATATTCATCAATTTTCATGTTTACAGTAACTAGACAAGTGTTTCTTAACTTTGTCTGTCTGTCTGCACTGTAGGGTCCATGTAATCATATGATATAATATATTTTATTATATAGCTAATAAATAGTCTCTAATAAAATACTACCAAAAATCTAGAGAATTTTAGCATTCAATATCTTGACGTTTTATTGAATGCCAAGTTTGTATTACCGGTATGTGTACGAGTATGCCCGAAACATTTCAAACATGAGCGTTCAATATCGAACGCCCCGTTGTAAACAAAAAAAGTTGTCTGGTCAAATTCTCAGAGCTAAATTAAAGAAAGGAAGTGGCATCTAGGTAAGATGTGTTTATTTTTCACACAAAAATGAAAGTATTTATTAAAATATAGTACATATTAGACCCATTAAAACCTAAATAATCAATTCATATCGCTCGGTAGGGTCATCGGAATGATGCAATATTGAACTCTTACAGGACAGATGTAAATTTGAATACCGATACTAAAAATCATTAATTTGAGGTTGTTATTAGTTGGAATATTATATTATATTATATTATTATAAATTATATGGAAATGTTTAAGATATATAATAAAGGAGTTCTTGAACTTATATTGGTGAATATTGGCACTCGGCTGTACAAATGCACTCGCAAGCTTGTGCATTTGAACAGCCAACTTGTGCCAACATTCACCAATATAAGTTCAATAACCCTATAATATAATTTCTCTATGTGTAAATTCTCATGTTTACAGTGTAAGAGTTAAACTAGTTTGGTGTTTCTCTGTGCTAACCCTGTCTGTTTGTCTCTCTGTATGAATCAGTTTTTCTCTGTGGTAACCCTGTCTGTCTGTCTGTAGGATGTAGTGGATTCACACCCAGGACTCACTTTTCTCCTGGATGCTCCAGAATTCCACTCCAGATACATCAATACAGTAAGAATTTGGATTATTGAAGTGTCTTAAAGTTATTGGGGATGGGTATTGCAAAACATTTTTCACCCCAAATTTCAAGATAATATTTTTACAAGCTATTTTTACAACAATTTTATATGAATATTCATAATTTTCCTAAAAATATAACCTCATTTTTTCTAAAATTGCGATTACCTAATTTCTTTCATTTTTTACAGCGGCGACAAATATATGCAATAAAAAAAAACAAAGAAAGAAAACATCAACAAATGATATAACAACAGCTCGTACTATAAATTATTCAAGGTTTTTGTATTCCTATCAGGAAGCATCACTAACATTATTTTTAAAAAAATATATCATAGCAATTGAGACATAGAAACATAATTTGTTTTTTTTTAAAATAAAGTGGATGTTATTATTTTTTCACTAGTAAACGAATAGTGATGTCCAACTGAATAAATTTTTGCACAAGCGTAGATTACCCTGAAAAGCGCCCTTTCCTAGCGGCAGCGACTGGAATCAAGGGCAGAGAACCAGTGCTAGCACAAGCGCCACCTATCGGGAAAATATTTCCACGAGGTCACAAACAGCGGTATGATCGGATATTTTAAATATGATGATTGACTAATAAAAACTGCAATTACTGTGAATTTCAATTTATAGTGTTTCTAATACCTTATAAACATAGACTTTTTAAAAGTTCAATCCTAAATAAGGTAAGCTAAAATTATATTGAAAATATTGGAGGGAACCGATGTACCAAGCCGGATTGTTTTTATTTAGTTGTATTATTTATATGAACATTTCAAAACTATTGTTTATACCATAAAAGTTGTGATATTTATAAAAGTGCAAATAATGAAAGAAACTGAAATATTTATGAAATTATGTAGAATTACGTATTCAATAATCATTACTACACAGTAATTTCTATAATGTTTATTTCATCTTTTCACTATGCTATTAGTCACAGAATACCTTAAAAAAAATTAAAATATGATTATAATCAATAATGAATTTATTTAAATATCAATTAATCTTTTTTTTTTCCACCCTCCTGATCGACTGGCTAAAAATGCCATGGCTCAATTGTCTGAACCTCAAAGAAACCTTACTTAATTTTTTTTAATCCTTATTACTGGTTTATATCATTCCCTTAACATTAACGTTGAATTTTTCTAAGAAAAAAAGTTTTATACCCTCACTGCGATGCGCCTCTCAGGCCTTCAGGCCTTTGATTTATTTACATAATATATAATGCATATTTGGATGCTAATATGCCATTCTTTTACCACTTTCAAAATTTTTTACCCTTCCTATAATTGTAATTTGAAATATTTAACAAATATTAAATGATTAATTTCTGGAATTTAAAAGTTAATACATAAAACCTGATATTTTAGTCTATCTTGATATACTTGTATACCAAAAAAAACACACACCCTACTGTTGATGTTGTAAGTTTAGCTTATCTTCACCAATCACGATGCTTACTTTCAGGTTATAGCCCGGATCTTCTATAGCATCAATCGGTCCTGGTCTGGAAGAATAACCATAAGTGAACTCAGGAAAAGTAATTTCTTACAGGTTTGTAGGCATTTATTTCTTATGGATGTCATATATTCTTCTAACTTTTAGTCTTAAATTTTTTATCTTAAAATTTTGTAGTCCAAAACAATACATCATCTGCCTGAACAATAACTTTTTATGTATTTCAAATCATATTGTATATGTTTTATTTTGTAATCATACAGTGAATCTGTTAACAAGGGAAATAACTCTTACTATTTCTATCTTAGAATTTTGTAGTCCAAAACAATACATCTTCAACCTGAACAATAACTATTTATAAATATGTATTTATAATCATAGTGTATATACATATTTTGTAATCATACAGTGAATCTGTTGACAAGGGAAATAACTCTTACTAAATATCATGATAATAAATATTGAATAAATGTGAATAACGAATTGAAAGAAAAAATGATAAAATGGTTTACAAAAGAATTGTAGGTTTTCATATATCTTTAGCATGCCAATAAATAGAACTGCATGTATAGAAAATGTTGATTCTTTCTAAAATTCTGTGAAGACATGGCACAATAATCTACACAATAAATCTCTGTTTACAAACAATTTTGATCTGGAATCTAAAATTGTTACTTTTGAAACAAATGAACTTTATAACATAACATATATCTTAAAAGAAAATGTCTACCTTTCTGCAGAAATTAATTACCTCATACTCAGTTGTTCAATCTCACACTATACATTGCAAATCACTATCAAAGATTAATGTGTGATGTGTGTTTTACTCTGATTGACTTTGTTACATGAGATATCTTTGTTCAAGTCTTACATGTACTTCTCTAACTTTTGAAAAACACACACACTTCGATCATAGAATAGAATAAATGCATTGGAGATGTGGTAGCAATGCAGTCTGTTTCTATACTTAGACCTGTTTATGGATACTGTAGATCACTTAATTTTCGCGACATCTTATTTTCGCGAGATAGTCATAGACTCTTTATAAGTGAGACAAAATGTTCACGAATTGTGATCATTGCTCTACATAATCTTAAGGAATTCTATTATACGCGAGAATGAAGTTTTCGCAAGCATACCGTCTTGTGTAATTACGCGAAAATAAAGTTCTCGGGAATAAAAAGTGATTTACAGTATATAATTCTGAGAGCTTCAGATTGGAAAAGGTGTTAAAATGAAATTAAGAACAAGGATTCAAGCATTGATGTACAGTTTAACTGCAGTACACATGTATCTTGAACTCAGAAATCTTGAATACAATGGATATGTCCAAGTTATTTTGAAGTCCCAACCACATGTTCTTTAAGTATTTTACCCCTTAATATCTGGAATCCACGGATATCACGGAAGTTTTTTGTCCTAATAAATTCCATGTAATTGTATATTTGTATATTTGCTTGTATTTTCAGACTCTGGCCCTGTTAGAACAAGAAGACGACATCAATCAGATTACGGATTTCTTTTCCTATGAACATTTCTATGTGATTTACTGTAAATTCTGGGAGCTAGACAAGGATCACGATCTGTACATCAGCAAAGAAGATTTAGCTCGTCATAACGATCACGGTAAAGGGCTCACTTCTCTTGTTTTCCAGTATTCTAGTCTTATTATTTGTCTCTTGTGGATCTGAGCAAAGCCATTCAAGATTTAGAGGGTTATAAATAATGGATTTTTTTCTGTCGGTTTCTAGTATTTTTGATTAATTTGTCATTGCATGGATAAGCTCATCTTCACTAGCCAAGGGTTTCCAATCCAAATCTACTCTACAACTCCATTACAGCGATAGGTAGCACAATTGAATTTCCCGTTTGATAGGACTAAATCTGTCAAGGGTTGTTGATTGAAAACCCTTGGCTAGCGAAGATTGGATAAGCTATCCCAAATTATTTATATCACACATGTTAAGTGCACTGGTATTTGATATTTAATATAAATTTGATTTGTGGTTTGGATTTAATATGGTGAAATGTGCCTCTTCAGTCCTTTTTAAGGTGTGGAGGATGTATTTCAGTTAAGCAGCATACTGAATATTTTATTTTTTATCATTTTCTGTTTTTCAGCTTTATCATTAAAAGTTATAGACAGAATATTTTCTGGATCTGTGATCAAGTAAGTGAATATTTTTTTTATTACTCAATGTTTGAACACATGTTTTTTGTACTTTCTGATCATCAGATGCAAGGCCTAGTCTTAGAGCAAGGTCATATTTTAAGTTCAAAGGTCACTTTTCCCCCTATTTTGTATTTTTATGTACCGTAATTCATTGTAAAATATGTAACGAGGGAACCAATTTTTTAGGGGCACTAACTTAAAAGATGGACGGATGAGCTACCCTGAGTTTGTCTGGTTCTTAATGTCTGAAGAGGATAAAAAACATCCTACAAGGTAAGAATCTCTCCTACAAGGTAATTTTCCATCCTGCAAGGTAATTTTCCATCCTACAAAGTACTTTGCCATTTTTCCAGATTGAGAATTACCTAGAAGAAAGGTCAATTACCCTTTCTTCTAGGTAATTCTCAATCTGGAAGCAGGAACGAATCTGGTTTTATGGTAACTTTTCTATTTCTTTTGAGGATCAAAACATTGGGGGGGGGGCAATAGTCATGGGCTTACAATTTTTGTTTCTTTGTTAAGTTAATTTTTTGGTTGAATTTTGCAAATACAGAAAAAAAATCAGATTATCCAGGTTCTATTAATTTCTCTTGTCTTTTTTTTTTCAATATCTCTATGAACAGATGATGTATGAAAATAATTTTTAAAAGATACAGTAAATGATCAGTGCTGTACATGTATATTGTAAAAAAAGTTTTGAAATTGATCACTCATTCTTTCATACATTTTACTTAAAACCTAAAAATTACTAATAGTTTTAGTATAAAAACTTAATCTGGCAGTTATGAATAAATTCCTTTGAGTTCTACAGCTACATGTATCACACACTGTACGTTATCTTAACTTTCAGCATTGAGTACTGGTTTCGCTGTATGGATTTAGATGGGGATGGTGTTATTTCTATGTATGAAATGGAATATTTTTATGATGAACAAATGCAGAAGATGGAATCCTTAGGAATAGAAAAACTTCCTTTTGAAGATTGCCTATGCCAGGTAACATTTCACATGGAAGAGTAGAAAATATGTGTAAAGGACCTCAAAAGCATATAATTAATATCTACAATTTAATGCATTTTAGAATTTTTACACCTACATGAGTAGCCTTTTCTAATTGTCCATAAAACATTCCTTATATGGATGATTTATAAGTTATATTCTAAAGTCAGGATATGACCTCACCAGTATCTATAATTGTTCAAGTTGCAATTCCTCTTCTCTAAAGCTATGTATATATGTATAAATATATGTATGGTCTATAGGTTTGGGATTTATTGAGCTTTGTCAAACAAGTGTAACCAAATTTCTTACACAGCTACCCACTTCAAACTGGGTTTTTTTTCGTCATTCAAACTTCCTTGGGAAAAAAAAGAGAAAAAAACCTTTTCTACTGTTATCTTCTGTATATTAGACTTTGATTTTATGAAATTGGTGATGATTGGTTCTGACGAATGTTCTACGCAGCAGTATTGGGAGCTGAAATTTAATTATGGCAATTTACATATTTCATTGATCTGATTTTGGCACCATACTGCTATGACATCATGGACCAAAATACAGTGAAAGAGAGACAAGAATTTACATTTGGTCAATGGAGTTATCAATGACAAATAAAGCATAATTATCAAAAATGCTAAAATAATTAATGTTATCCTTACTTTACAAAATTCAAGCTGAACTCTGAACTTCAGAATCGTCACCAATCTTTAATAGAAATTTGCTTTACATGACTTGCCTTCCCCAATCACTGCAAATGTTTTTTCCTTTAATAATTCAATTTTAATGGAAAAAGATGGCGAGGGGGGAGGGTTAGTTGTTGTTAATCAGCTGTTGGTGAATTTCAGTGTGTTTGAAAATATGTATGCATGCAACACAGTTTCATATGTCTACAATTTTTTTGGCAAAAATATATTTTCATTTTTTGTTTTCTTGTCAAAAGATGCTGGATCTTGTGAGACCAAAAATTTTGGGGAAAATAACTCTGTCTGACCTCAAAAGCTGCAAAATGGCCAACATCTTCTTTGATACATTTTTCAATCTTGACAAATTTTTGGATCATGAACAAAGAGATCCTTTTGCCAATGCCAGGGTAAGATTTCTTTCTTTTTTTTTTTTGTTTTTTTTTTTAAATGAAGTAAGATAAAGTATGTTTTACTTTGGATGCAAAAGAAAGGATATATGTAATTTTTCATGTTAAAAAGCATCTGGTTTTAAACTGGACTATTCTTGTAAAAGTTTTAGAGGCACAACTGTTAGATTATAGAGTTGTGCACTTTTTTTATTCATAGACTGACTGTGAATCTTTGTATTTTTTAGGACTTTGATATACAGTGAATCTGTACACTGTAAAATCACATATTTTCGAGGGGTCAAATTTTCGTGGTTTGAGGAAAATATATTGTTTTATGGGGATTCAGTTTCATGGTTGAAGAATTGTTCAGGAGTAATGTATGTGAAAAAATGCATTTCGTTGTGGACATAAATTTATGGGCCTCTTCATACCTTGAAAACCATGAAAATTAACCCTCTACGAAAATGAGTGATTTACAGTATTTTTCAGAACTTCGTCAGTAATTCTGTTTATTTTACAGGACTTTGACTGTCATTCTGTTTAATTTACAGGACTTTCACTGTCAATCTGTTTATTTTTCAGGACTTTGACAGTGATGTTAGTGAGCCCTCAGACTGGGAGAAGTATGCAGCAGAGGAATACGAGATACTGGTGGCAGAGGAGGGGTCTAATGACCAGGAGGAGATGTAAGGAGTTGGGAGTCTTGTTAATTATCTGTGATGCATTGCTTATTCACTCAGCCTTCATATTGAATCATTTTCATATAGATTCCATACTTCAATCCCCTTCAGTTTGTTTCTTAGATATATTGCATGTGTACATAAATTGATGTATTCGGCGGGGGCAAAAATTTCCCTGTATACAGTTTTACTAATATTTTCATAATTTGTGATTTTCAATGAATTCAAGTCATAAATTCTATTTAAAATAATTTGATCATGAGATACTTTCAAGGCAAAAAAAAACTTTATAAATTAGATACCAGTTTGCCAGTAAGATGTATTATTGATCTGAGATTTTGACTTTCCAGACATTATGAAGATGATTTTGAGCCTGACGACGAGGAACTGATTAACCAAGAACTAAAAAGAGTTCAGCAGACTAACTCAGCCCAGTTCCTGGGGGGTGGGGATTCTGGTGCCAGGGACGAGGATATTTACGACTTTTCCACAGATAATCTGGGATATTAAATGGATTCTGCAGACTTTGAAGCTCTTTCTTTATACCTGTGATATGTCTCAAGTTTTCTGGGAGGCACTGTAAACTGAGGACAATCCATTACATGTACGTTATTGAATGTGAGGCAGTATTTCATCTCCAAATACAATTGTTACAATATTATATATACAAAGTGAAAAAAGGAGGTATTCTGTATTTGACTTTGATAGTTGAAATACATGTACATTGTATTCATCTCTGAGTTTTTAATTAAATAGTTGAATCATTTCATATCAGAGATTATTTGTTAAATTATTTCATATGTGATGTGATGTTTAAACTATTGAAGTTCTCATGTCAGTGTTCAAACATATTTTATGAAGCTAGCAGTTGAAGTATTAATTATTTGTTAAAATTTTTTTCTGTATCTCATGCTAGAGACCTATACATGTAGTAGTTGGAGTAAAGTATGACAAACAGCTTGATCTACCGTGACCAGTTAGATAAATTCATAAGTCTGCACGAGTCATCTTCTGCATTTTGTATTTTCACAAAGTTTGTTAGTCTGGTCATTGTTTGAATGTTAAAAACACATTTTACTTATAAATCCATTTCAATTTAATTTATTTTATTTATTGATATATTCCGTATAATCTATGCATTTTGCTGTGATGTTTGTAATAAACATTAGGTATGAAAGCCTGTCACAGGAAATAAGATTTTTGTTTGCTCACTTACACCAGAACCCCTGACTCAGGAGCCATGAAATTCACAACTTCGAAAGAGGCATTCTTGCTTATCATATATACCCAGGAGCAGAGAACAAGATTTTCAAAGAACGAATGCACACTCACTATATTTTCAATAGCGCCCCACCATAACACCAGAACCCTAAGCCAGGGGCCATAAAATTCACAATTTTGGAAGAAGGAACCTTATTCAACATAACTATGTACTTGGTAAGCTTAATATTTAAAAACCCAGGAGCAGAGAAGAAGATTTTCAAAGAAATAATGCAGTTTCACTATATAATCTACATGTTACATACATGTACATGTAGATATATCACTAGCACTAGAACCCTTGGCCCTGGGGCCATGAAATTCACAATTTTGGAAGAGGCAGCATTTTTCAACATACAAGTACACTCTGTAATTATGTACTTGGTTAGTTTATCTAATGCCCAGGAGCAGAGAAGATTTTCAAAGAAATAATGCATTTTCATTATATCATCTATTTAGCCCTGCACTAGCACTAGAACCAATGACCCTGGCCATAAATTTCATAATTTTGGTAGAGAACTCGGTGCTCATTACAATCATGCCATCAGATTGACTGTTTGATGTCCAGGAGTAATGAAGAATATTTTTTAAAGATTGCATTAATTTTAGTAGTTTTGGCCCCAACTCTCAGGCCCCCGGGGGGGGGGGGGGGGGTTATCAGGGACCATGAAATTTGCAATTTTTGTTTCCCTTCACCCATAGATGTTTTGTGCGAAAGTTGAAGAAGCTGAAAATGTTCAAATGTTAACACACAACAGACGACGCACTACGACGGACGAAAACAGATAGCAATATGTTCAATGCATTTTATTAGGTCACCCGAGTAAACTCTGGTGACCTAATAAAATGCATTGAACATGTTGAAGTGTTCAAATTTTACGTTTGAATGGAACGTTTTGAGCTATCTTAAGAACATTGATTGTCATGTATTGACAGGCCCATTTCTTTATAAACAAAGAAAACGGTCAAATAGTTCATTCGAATAGAACAGGCCTGGGACCTATTAAATTTAGACGAGCTCACTTTTGATCTCAGTTTCACTTTTTCGGATTAACAGTGGGAAAGTGAGACTGAGATCAAAAGCAAGCTTGTCTAAGTTTTATGGCCTCCAGGCCAGGTACATGTATTCCCTATATATAAAAGCCAATCAAATGGGCGGTCTATAGGTCTACATAAACAGTTTGAACGCCGAGTAAACACGTGTTCGACCGATACATGCTTTGTGGTAAATCTATAAAACACTGAAATTCATAATTATGTTCATTTTTACAGATGTGAGGAGTGTCTAACTCTCTCTTCTAACTTTTTAGAATCTCCATTTTCAGTGCATTTCATGTAAGTGAGGTGTTCTAAAGCAGTACAACGAATATTTTTCTCGTTTGTAAGAAATGGGCTTGTCAATACATGTATGTAACAATTAACATTCAATAAGAAACACCGAAACATCCATTCCAACGAAATATTTCCATTTCTATTTTTTTCTCAGTGATAACTCTTTGAAAGTTAGCGGAGTTAATTTCTTGATAATTCTACAGAAATGTAAAGGCAGGTCGATCCTGTTCGGGAGCTAAGGAGGCCTAATATGCATGCAAATCTCGTGCGCATCTGTCTCTGTACCTGACGGCCACGCTTAGGAGGCCACGGTGTTTTTTGAAACTTCATCTTGTAAGTTACTCATATTATATAGGGTAAAATAGTAAATCTCGAATCAATTTTCAGGAAATGCGATCTAATCTACCTCCTGCATATTTTCTAATTGAAAATTTACAAACCAATACATTTTAAGAATAAAAATACACTGTAATAGGTATCCAGGATTTTGAAGAAAATTGAATGATTTTTATACTTATTTCCTACTTAGGTTTCTACAATTTATCTCCATCATTTTGTAATGAAATGAGGTATGAAATTTACTAACCAGGTATCATCCCGTACCCTGTCACTAAAAGACTATGTAACTAATAATACACTATGCTTTGTAAAAGGATCGAAGTAAATTGAAGAAACTGAGGTACCATTTATGTCTTAAAATTATGCAATTTCTTCAAAAGCCTGGTACCTATGATCTTTAATTTTAAAATGTGTTTGATGATCGAATCTGAATGAAAAATGCATAGTAGGTGTTTTTAATTGCATTTCCTGAAAATCTATTTGAGGTTTTCTAAATTTCCCTGTATAATATGATTATAATATGATTAAGATGAAGTTTGAAGAATTATCGTTGGTAAAGACTCATTATTTTGAGAGTACTTTCAATTAGCCAATGCCTGATTCTCAGAACCTGAGGATCAAAGTACCTTAAATACATTTATTTACAGCAAATTAAAAAAAAATTGCTAATAAAACAATTTTTATATTGTGTCTGAAAAATGCAAAGAAAAGAAAAAAAAAAATCATAAAATACGTACATTGTAATAGAGCTAAGTTGTATGTCAATAATGAAACTTTTATTTAAAAAATTCCTCCTTAAGGAATAATTCCATCACTGAAAACATAACTGATACCATCACGAAATGATGGTATCAGTTAGATTAGATTTGACCGTTTTATACCGGTACATGTATTAGAAGCAAGGTCAGGTCAAGGTTATTATATTTATCCTGGACTTTAAACATAGAAATAATACTGTAGACAAACATGCCATAACCAAAAACATAATGTTTTAGTCGTTAACTAAGAGAGAAAAACACTTTTTACGGATTTTTGTTCAAAACTATACTGAAATTGAAAGCTTTTAAAGCTAACATAATTGTAGTTTGTTTGGAAAATTATTATCATTTGATATTTTTGAGAACTTTGATAACTTATTATTAATTTGAAAAATTCTTCAAATGTTTGATAGTGTAAAAAATTTGACTAAATTCATTGTTCTATAGCCATTTGGAGAAACAGGACAGAAGATATTTTCATACGCCGCTGTGCCACCAAAAATATAGCCCCTGCTAAATTTCAAACTCAGGTTATATGCACCATTTCTACTTAAAATTGTACAATTGTGATGAAGAAAGCAAAAACAATTGATTTCTTAAACCCCTAACAGCCAGTTCTTTTATATAAATACACAGTAAGGTAAGACACAGAGATAATTTCTAAAACAAGATTAGACATGTGACTATAAGTTTATAACACTACACATAAGAAGTCGTCTAAAACATACTCTGTATCATAAAATTACTGTCAGTTAGAGCTGTACTTCGCACATATTCCTGAAAGACTCGCAGATAATCACAATGGTTAAAACTTTTGAATTAAGCATATTCTTTCAATACATATTAAAGCGAAATTGACGTCCTCCAAACTGTTTAAATTCACACATCTTGTACATTCCTCCCCCGATCATTGCACTATACACGTCACAAGCTGATAGCGCTAATGGTTTATTTTGTTGATTTCTTTGGTTTAAAATTTTTTTTCTACTTCATTCTTTTTACGAATAGTAATTTTGTATCTGCATGATTCAACATAGGCTACCAATTTCATTTATTTTTTATTTTATTAAACATACTTGATCGGTAGTTTTGTTTTACAAAAGTATCTGATGTAGTGGATGGTCTGGTGAGACTGAGTTTTACACCCTGGAAATATTACTTTTACATTCAAGATATGCATGTGGTCTTTTGGATGAAAGTTTTGCAAAGCAATGTCTGCTTTGGGTGTGATATACTCCTACATGTAAGAGCCTCAATTAACCTCCGTACACTCCTTATACAGGTTGAGACCACTCGCCCACATGGGATATATAGTATCCATCCCAGATGGGATATAAAATTACAGTGCAAATATGTCAAATTTTATTTTAGTTATAAAAAGCATAAACCCAAATTAATATACTTATAAAGGAATGTTTTGGTTGACAAGTTTTTAGCTCACCTGAGCCGAAGGCTCAAGTGAGCTTTTCTGATCAAAATTTGTCCGTTGTCTGTCGTCATCGTACATGCTGTAGTCGTCGTTGTTGTCGTCGTAAACTTTTCACATTTTCATCTTCTTCTCAAGAACCACTGAGCCAATTTCAACCAAACTTGCTACAAAGTATCCTTGGGTAAAGGGGATTCAAGTTTGTTCAAATGAAGGGCCACGCCCTTTTCCAAGGGGAGATAATCATGAATTAGAGAAAAATTAATGGCATTTTTAAAAAATCTTCTTCTCAAGAACCACTGGGCCAGGAAAGATGAAACTCATGTGGAATCATCATCAGGTAGTGTAGATTCAAGTTTGTTCAATTCATGACCCCCGGGGGTAGGATGTGGTCAATATGGCTGATCAAATTTTTACATAGGTATATATATATGAGGAAAAATCTTGAAAAATCTTCTTCTCAAGAACCATAAAGACAGGAAAGATGAAACTCATGTGAAATTATCCTTAGGTAGTGTAGATTCAAGTTTATTCAAATCATGACCCCTGGGGCTATGATGGGGCAAAATGGCCGACCAAAGTTTTACATAGGAATATATAGGGAAACCTTTTAAAATCTTCTTTTCAAGTATTTAAAAGCCATGATTAGTAATATTTATTTGGAATCATCCTCAGGTAGTGTAGATTCTAGTTCATTCAAATCATGATCCCCTGGGGGTTAAAATTCAAGCCCCCCTCCCATCCTCAGTAAACTTTCAGTTCTGATTTGATATGTGCTTTTTCCTAGCCGATGTGCTCAAGTGAGTGCTGTGGTTCCTGGGCCTCTTGTTTTATGGAGATTGATATCTTTGGAAGTTCTTAAATTCTCGGGAAGCAAACTGACAAACTGAAGGGTTGCAGAAGCAAGTTGCAGAAAAACTTGCTCGTCAAACGTTATTCCTTTTAAAGGCAGGATTCTTCTGTGGTTTCTGACTAGATAATATTCAAAGTACATTTGCTTATATGTCTTATATATATATATAGGTGTAAGAGATTTCTTTCCTCATCACAACTGTACAACTTTAAATAGAAATGGTAAACCGCGTTTG